GAAGCACCACGCAGAGACTGGTTCGGAGCCTGTTGACCCCATCTCGCTCAAGTATACCGGCCAGGGTGTTGGCGAATCTACCGGTGGTGGTATTGAGCTGTGGGAGCACCCTCCCAATGGGCAGGGTATTGTCGCGTTGATGGCGCTGGGCATTATCCAGGAGCTGGAGAAGCAGGGCAAGATTTCAAAATGGGGTCTAAAAGACCACAACACCACCCAGCATCTACACGCGACTATTGACGCTCTGCGCATCGCCTTTTCCGACGCACACTGGTTCGTCACCGACCCGAATGTCGTCAAGGTTCCCTCCGCAGAACTCATCTCCGAGCAATACCTCGCCGAGCGCGCGAAGCTCTTCGACCCCAACAAAGCCGCCCCAGCACCCGTCCACGGCTCGCCCGCCCACCTCCGCAGCGACACGGTCTACTTTTGCTGCACTGACCAACAAGGCAACGGCATTTCCTTCATCAACAGCAACTACGGCGGCTTCGGCACCGCCATCATCCCGAAAGGCTGCGGATTCACCCTCCAAAACCGCGGCGCAAACTTCAACCTCTCAAAGGGCCACCCCAACGAACTGGCCCCCAGGAAACGCCCATACCACACCATCATCCCCGGCCTCACCACCTACAGCGACGGCTCCCTGCACTCCGTCTACGGCGTCATGGGCGGCTTCATGCAACCCCAGGGCCACGTGCAGGTCCTGCTGAACCAGGAAGTCTTCAAGCTGAACCCGCAAGCCGCGCTCGACTCGCCGCGCTTCTGCATTGGTGCCGGGATGCCGAGCGCGGACGGCAAGATGACGGACGCTACGATTTATCTCGAGGAAGGGATTGATGGGAAGGTTGTCGAGGAGTTGCGCGCCCTGGGCCATAATGTGGAGCAGTTGAGTGGGTATGGGAGGGGCATGTTTGGGCGCGGGCAGATTATTAGGAGGCATGAGGATGATGGGTGTACGGTGTGGAGTGGAGGGAGTGATTTGAGGGGTGATGGTGCTGCGGTGCCGTTGTGAGTGAGCGAGCAGCCAGGTAGTGGTGAGCAGTGAGCAGTAAGCAGCGAGCCGCGAGCAGCGAGGTGGCGGTATGCAGTGATCCAACAACCCTACCCACACTTCTCCATCCATACTCCCCATCTACCACCCCCCATTCCATCCCTCACCCCACAAACCCCACGCAAAACAACACTACCACATACCACATACCTCTCTCCCTCTATCCCCTCTCTTCCCTTCCAACCCGATAATCCTGGTATGCTGTATACTCCCACCTCAACCTTTTAGCTGACGTCTTTGGGGAGTTCTTCTAGTTCTTCTAGTTCTTCTTGCTCTGTTCTGATAGAGGAGTGGATGTTGGAGGAGTCGTTGTTAAAAATTAAATCTTGTAGATTTAGTTCCCTCGCAATACAACATCTAAAACCCATGAATTACAGTTTCTGAAGGCTACAGTGTAGATGGAGTTGTGTTCTTGATACCTCTGATGCGCAGGCTGGAGGGTGTTGGATAGATAGGGATGTTGATATGTGGTGGAGGTACCGTACTTGCATGTGGTCGGGTTGATGGGTACGCTTTTGAGTGATTCTTGGATGGGTTGGTTTAAGCGTAAGTGATGGTATTGAGAATAACTAACTAACTATGTAAAATGATATGGACCTGCCGTGTCTCGTAGGGCTTGATAAAGTCCAGAAGATGTATGAACTGGTGACTAGTGGTTGAGATGATGCCTATCGTCTCTAGTTTGAACAAATGTTAAAGTCACCGCAATCTTCCATCAAAGCATATCTTGGGTGCGATGAGGAAAAACTTTAAAGCAAAGAAAGATTCGTAAACTTTCGAATGAAGGTCGTGATGGAGTTCGATCTGAGCGTAGATGCTTGCGTTGGTATGGAGGAAGTGTTGCTGCAAAGTGCAGCTAACTTTAGTTATCCGGAAGTGCATGGTAGAGCTGTCGAACACTCTCAAGGAGTTGCTCGGTCTCCATTGCATCTTCCGGGTCAGCGACAAGGAACGGGTTGGACAGCCTCATGCGCTGGACGCCACTGAAGAAAGTATAGCGCTCCAGGATTGGCTCGGGAAGCTCCACGGTTTCGCTCGTTTCCTCTGAGACCTTGAGTCGCTTCTCTCTCTCTTTCTCTGGAGACGTCCCAGGGCTGGTAGCGTTCCTTTGCCGTTTGGTGCCGGAAGGCGGTCCTGGAGGGGGATATTGCCCGAGTGTCTTGAGGTATTTGATCCATCCTGGAAACTCGAACATGCTGGTGTTGAGTAGATCGGCTCACTCCCGCATCTCTTTAACGAGTTCGACTGAAGGTGCCTTTCGGATCCGAGTTGCTCTCTGAATGTAGAGCGCAAGCTCTCGTAGCTTTTCAGTGGATAGATGTTTACCCACGTTGTGCAACTCCTTTTCGAGAGCGTCATCATCCTCCAGGGACTGTGACGGGGTCTGCCCTTTTGACTTCTTGCTGGCTTTCTTACTCTTTCTTCCTGTCTTGCCAGTCTGCAGTTGAGTCACCCGCAAACGCTCCATTGTTTCGATGTAGCGAGGAAATTTGGCTTCCCAGAGCTTTTGGCACACTGGCTCCCAAGCTTCAGAAACTTTCGGAATGCCGTCGGGTAGATAATCCAAGTCTACATTCTTTTGGGATGACCCCATAACATCCGCTTTGAGGTAAAAACCGTGTTCCTCCGCAGTGCTGCCGTTCTTCAGCTTCACTATATAGCGAAGCCAAGCCTCTTGCGCGCGCTCTTTACCGTTCGTGTTGGGCTCAGGCTTCAGTTGGCCCATGAACAGCGCATGCTCTGCTTCGTCCCAGACAAAGTCATCGATATTCTACTCAAGTTAGCTGTGATCTTGTAACAAAATTGCGAAGCTTACAATCATTGCTCAGGTCATCTTCAACAGTTTTGACCTTTTGCAAGGATACTTTGTGATCGCTGTTGAGGCAGAACCTCAGCAGTCTCGCGGGGAGGAGAGGGAGTAGTATTGTAGCAGTTTTGACCCTTTGTAAGTAGGTTTTGTGATTGCCGTAGGGAAGAATCTTCAGCAGTGCTGTGCAAAGAAGAGGAAGAAGTGTTGATGTGAGGCTGTGGTGAGTGCAACTTGAAGCCGCAAAGGAAGAAAACAGGTTACTGTCAATTTTTGCTCGTCACGTGTGCAGAGGTGAAAGAAGGTGAAAACTTCGATTGTCAACGAGAAGTCGTGGTGAATGTGGCTTTTCATTCGATTCCAGGATAGAAGAAACCAAGGCAAGACCCGCTGTGGTGTGAAAAGAGAAAGACTGGGCGCAGAATCAGGAGCCTACGACTAATTCTCGTGACAATTTAATCACAGGCAGCTCTTCATTGGCGACTTCGAACTCGAAAAGGAAGTTGCAAGGGTAGTGCCGCGCCACACACAGCGCTGTGACTAAGCCTCTGTAACAGCCCACGCCAACGAGCGGCATTGTCTGCATTGCACTCAGATTCAGCATATTGTATCAGACTTAGATCGGGCTCAGCCCAGAAATCTTCTGGTACAGCCCAATGGAGGCCATTGCAAGGCCATTAGATAACATTTATGATTTGGAATAAGCTGGAACATTAGCTTCCGTGTCCGTAGCCACTTATGGGTGGGCTCAATGCTACAAAGAAGCTCGTCTCAATGAACTGAATACCTTCTAAGAACACTAGAATATTCTGTACGCTCACGCAACACACCACTACAACTAGTAACTAGACGGTACTTGGCAATATAAGGACACTATGTTGCTACTAGCACATATGTAGAATATGTGTAAACTGTAGTAGTGTTATGAATGCATGTTCTAACGAGGTTGGTGTTGCGCAAGTGTTCGACCAATAAACACGAGCTTCTTCGTACAAATGCATTCACTAAGACCAATTGATAGTCAAATCGGAACTACCTAGGTCTCATTGGCTGCGCGAAGATCCTCGTCAATGGCTTTAGTGAACTCGTGGGCACGATGGATTGCCCATTGGCAAGCTTTCCATCTTTGACTCACTACTGTCATCGCGGCCATGCGCAGTCAGATTTCTTCTCGTCGTTTTGGCGCATACGTGCAAGACTGCGGGGCCAGGAAGTCCACCATTAATCACTGCACAATGCTTCAAGATCTGACGACCCTAGACTGGTAGACCTTCACGGAGGCTATCCTTCCCTGCTTTCCAGCACTCCGGAGGAGATGATGATGCACGCGCTACCAGGATGACTACGGGTGGTGTGGACGACTGCTTGGACAACACAAGTCTCATGGAGGTCTCGCGCAAGATTGCGCCCTCTCTCGTGCACTTCTCTTCATGGCGAGCAAGCATGTAGAGACAGGGTGGTATTCACCGCAGTCTTTGCTGCATTGGTACGGTCCGTTGGCGTCGTCGACGTAGCTTCTGTAATGATTTGCGTGGCTCGTAGCATTGTATGATGGCGGACGGGTACATTGGAGGTACGGCAACCACGCACATGGCATGTTGGTTGCATCTTGCAAGACAGCCTTGGCTGCCACCATTCTTGAACTTTGTAGTCTGCTTCTTCTTAGCATGATGACATGCTTGCTGGTATGTAGTGAAGACTCTCCCCCATTCTTCAGGGCAAGGAATCTTTTCTGTCCCATCTTCAAATGGTGATTGGGCGAAGGGTGTCACTATCTTTCCCCGGTGGCTGGCAGTGTCGTATACATGCCGAGTGAGGCCCTTGAGACTGTCAAATTTGCCCTTATTATGGGGACAAGCCAGTTCAGTTGCCATGAATGGGCAACAGCAGAGGGAGCATACACAGAAATCATGCTTAGCGCTCGCTAGTCTAAAAGTATAATAAGAGACTACACTGTATATTTGCCAATACAGCGTACGGTTGATAATCTGATGAGGGCCTCCTACTGTCGTTTTCTGACAAGCGAGGGATGATAGTCGTGTCCGAGCTTCCTTTCAAGATTGGACTCGCTATGCGCTTGCAGGCATGTCTCTGCCAGAAACCTGGAATATATAGATATATAACCTTTGTTCTTTCATCGAAGTCAATTTGGCCGAGTGGTTATGGCGTGTGACTCAAGCGATTCATGCAAGAGCTTCTGTAGTATTCCTACAGCGCATTCTCATAGGGTTTCCCTGCGTGGGTTCGAATCCCACAGTTGACATCATTTTTTTGCTTTCTGTTTGCATTCTCTTCTTTTTGCTTTCCTTGGCATCTTCTCTCTTCGAAACCTCAATATATGTCACGTCGCCACAACTTTGTACCCATCACACCAACGATCATTCTCATCGCAGTGTCTCTTCTATCTGTTTTCACTTCCCTGCCGCAAAAACCTCCAGCCTCGCATACAACAGTCAAAACGCAGAGTCGTATGTCTCAAAGTACATGTGATTTCGTCCCGCCATCTCTTTTTGAACATGATCTCTATTCGGTCGGCATCGATCCAGAATCATGCATGATCCCATTTGCATCTAATTTGTGCCTGTTGGTCTGCACAGTCTAACAGGAACCGTGCGTTAATTCCGTTTGTGCTGTCTTTCTGACATCTACCTTCACCATAGAACTTGGTATATCTGACCTTGAGTGTCCCACTCGGCCTTACCCCTCCCATGATAGGAAAAACTTGTCTATTACCTTCGCGAACCTCGTGCTCCCAGACAGCTCTTAACAAACGGCAACAGTGTTGCGCATCTTCAAAAGACCTGCCAATCTGCACCCACCTCCACAGCCTCACAGGCCGCGACAGCCAAGACACGACCAAATGTCTGAGCCCAAGTCATCTCCGTTGAAGCGAAAGTCTCAACTTCTGGACCCGGATCCGTCACCCAAGAGGCACGCAAAGAGCAAGCACAGCCAGAGCTTGCCATTTACGTCGCAGTCAAGTTCGCCGACTCGCAAGGCGTCGACCAAATCAAGGAAGTCTGCTGCTACCTCCAGTACGAGACCGTCGAGAAAGTCACATACTGACAGTCTTTTGCCGTCGCAAATCCTCTGGGCGAGTGAGGCATCTTGGCTGAGTGCGACAATCACTGGCGATACGTCACAACGTGAGTTGATGGAGCTGTTTGAAGACGACAACCTGATGGCCGGTGCCAAGGTCGTATACTTCGTGTACAACGATATCAACGCTGCGAATATCGAGACGCTCCTCATGACCCACGTCGCGATGCCTACGGACAGTCTCCTATTCAGCAAGGTCTGCGACAAGTACGGGCGACGTCGTTCTAAGTGGGCAGGAGATACCATGAAGTTCTTTGAACGACTAGTCGGCCGCTTCGTGCATGAGTGTCATGAAAATCCACGGAACGCTAAGCAGGAGTTCTCAACCTTGTCAAGTGATGCCCGCCAAGAATTTTGGATGGCACAGTGGGAGAAGGATGAAGCAGGACTTGCGAAGGAAATGTGGTCACCAGCGGCGAACGTCATTGATTGGGAGAGCATTTACGGGACTCCTCCAACGAGCCGCACTCAAGAGGATCGTACGAAACTAGAGGCCGTTTAACTCTTGCTGACTGTCAAGTTCTTGTTCGCCTGTGAGCAAGTTTTCCAGCATCGATTCAACTACGGTCTTCTCCCCGATAATGATCAGGACACTACTGTTGGTCAGAGCGGGTTTGTCCATGTAAGTCCCTCGATCGAGCCTGGTAACCGAGCTAATGAGTATTAGTATCAAGAGCTTAAGAACTGGAGGGGCTTTGCAAAACACCATGGGTTTCGTGAAGTGGTGGTCACATATACTCAAGTACCTGTTTCCCGCATCTTCTCTGCTTAGATGGTATATGGCGTTATTTCAGTCCATACTCATCGAGTCGAGAGAATGCGGTGCTTGAAGCACATGGTGGTACGGGATCTGGGAGCATACAGTACATGTCTGTACTGACTTTGCCAGGTTTTGAGTATGGAGAGGACTACGAGAAATCATACCAAGATGACGGAGGTGGAGCTACGGCCGTTAGTGGAATTGGGCATGGTGTAGTGTCCGTTGCCTCGGGTCATGACTCGAACTCATACGCTCTGCTGCACCATGATATCGTTCTTGACTCCCATGATTACTGATGCGCACATGTTTCTTAAGAAAGACAATTGGATAGAGAATGCATAGGTAGGAAAAGCAGCGCAAAGTGTTGCCCATCAGCTATTTCGCTTGACTATGTTCCACTGATTGTCCACTGGATGCAATCCGAGATGCTACCAAAACTACTCGCACTATATCCACATCAGCTCTGCGAGTAGCTGTGCAGATAGCCTGATGAGTAGGAAGAAGCGCGTTCGAAGTCGCGACTTGAGATCGTGTTGTCTCACAGCGCTGATGCCTATACCTCACCCCCTTCCATGTCATTTAGGAGATGTGATTCCGAAGACCATATTCGGTTGTATTCGTTACTTCACTAATCACTATCTCCGACATTCTAATTGCATCCTGCCTGTGGGCGAGGACACCTTGTTCATCAAAAATGCTGCCTTCCACTTTGGGAATTACTTTCACCTTCACCATAACGTCATCACGTCAGCTTTTCGTCACGAGCGCACACTGATTCATCGCATAGCACGGGTCGCCCTAGATATTATCGTGTCTTCGCTTTGCGATCCGACTTTCCCTCCACACCAACCTGCATCGCTTGCAACAGCCACCATACTGTTTACAAGCTCTTGCCAACCGGTCTCCACTCAACTGCTTAGGTTACGACTGTTCTCAGTTGGTTTCTGAGTAGCTGAGCGTCACGCATGGTCTTTGCGAATACAGTAGCTCCACACGCGTGGCTGCTACTGGAAAACATTGATGTTTGGGCTCTTGTACAGTGGCTCTACACGCGTAGTTGCTACTAGAACGACCCACTTGCGTAGACTATTGTACAGTATCTCTACCCATGTAGTTACTACTGGAGCGGTCTGTACATTACTTAATACGGTAACACTACGACTGTAGTCGTTACCAGAACAGTACACCATTGGTCTCTAGTATGGAAGCACTGCACATGTAGTTGCTTCTGGAACGGTCCAAGGAGAGAAGCAGATTTTACGGGTGGGCGATAGGGGTTCACAGTATGGTTGCAAGGGAATGCCAACGGAGGGGTCTTTCCATAGAGGAAGAGCATACGGTGCTTGCACCGTATGTAGGGCCGTTGACCACATGTTCGAAATATCTTGTTCTGGTAAGTCAGTCATTGTTTCCTCATAGCTATGCCAATTTCTAATGTTTCACCAGGACAAACCATCACCAGCTTGCTTGCTCGATGGAACTTACAAGCGCTAGGGTGATAAGTTTGGTGATCTATATACAGACAGAGACTCCATCATTGACGGGCAATAAAAGCGCCCAAATAAGGGTAGCTGGTGGAGTGCTGCAGTGAGTAGCAGAATAAAGAACTGCGCGACTCTACTCTAGGTTCTTCAAAGACATCTTGAACTCTTCCTATGCATGACAATGCATGAGACGTGCATGTACCGATGCGTTGACGATGATTGTGAGAGTTGCACAGCCGCTTAACCATACAATCTCAGGTACAGAATCCCAGCTAGGAGGGCGATGACAGCATAAGTCTGAAGGCCCTTAGAAAGAATGCCTTGCAACACTCCGTTGTAGCAAACGCACTGTAATAGTTTCATGAACTGTTGAATAAACAGAAACAGAGAGATCTTGCTGCGTATGTTCCTACTTTGAGATTTTTCGAAGGTGCATATAGTGTAGGCACGGAGTAGATAGCAAGAGTAGTGTGATGGCAATACATGGTTGAACCCTATCTATAGAAGAACGCATCGAAAGTCCAGTAAACGCTATTCAAGATCCCAAAGCTTCTTTCAACGGCGCTTGAGCCTAGTTCTTCTATAGTAAGTTATTGCCGCTGGAGTAATCACTAAGTCGTCTGTTGCCGGATAAATGAGGTACTTGTGGTCCATTGCAGTAGACTTTTGTGCGAGTCATAGCTGTGAACTGGCTACTACAATCTAAGAAGAACAATCCGAGGCATGTAAGTTCACTGCTCTGCTCACTACGTGGTGTTGAGGGCACGAGCTGATAATTACAAGCTTGACATCTCTGCCTTGCAAGCATCTACACGAGAAGCTGAAGAGCGATCTAACGTACGTTTCTGAACATGGACATCTGCAAACCTAGTAGCCAATCGCAAGTAAAACCATAGAAACTCATTAGATGTAAATAGCAATTGCTGATCCGCCTCATTAATACAAACACCCCCCTTTGGAGCTTGCCAGATAGGTGATCTTGAAGTGTGCGGGCGGGAGATTCATCAGACGGGCACCTCTCCGCAACTGGGAGGTTAATGGAAGCTGCAACAGATTCTTCCTTCTGGAATAGAAACACCATGTGTTGGATGCATTCACCATGAACTTGCAGTCTAAGGATAACACAAATATCTATTCGTAGTTGCGGGATGGTTTTTGAGGTTGTAAGTAGTTCTTTGACCGACACTGGATGCCTCCAGGATTGGAGGTGGTGTAGGTGGGGATACTTTTGTTATCAATCAAACGTATGTGTCACAGACGTAGAGCTCTTCGCATTTTCTATAGTACTGGTTCATTTGAGATGTATATGTATACGTTACACCATCCGTTGACAATCCAAAATGTCCAACACCACTATCCACTCAACCATCTCCAAAACTCAGTCTTCTTACGATCATGCAGCCCCAGCAGCCCCGTGCTTTCCACCTGGACCATGATTGTCTCCCTCAAACTTCCTCCCCCCTCGGCGACGACCACCACGCGTCTTTTTGTAGACCTCCCTCCCGGTGTCCAGCAGATTGCCATCCTTGTCGCGCTTGCCGCCGAATACCATGCCTGCTGGCGCCTTCCGGTATGCGCGTTTACTGCCATCGGCTGTGGTTCTCACTCCCGTATACGCACCGTGCAGACCTGACGCGTTTTGCCACTTCGGCTTCTCCATTAGCGGTTCGTCGTATGTCATCATCTTGTGGAGTTGATAGGTGAAATTGCCCTTATTTTCGGGTTTCTGACGGTTCTCCATCCACAGTTGCGCATGTTCTAATGTCATGACGAGGCCGCTGGCCTTGACGTAAGAAACATAGGCAAAGAATCCGCGATACTTGTAGGTGAATTTGCGGCGATCGTGCTTGACCAGAGCAAAGAGCTTGAAGGCACCAAAAATGTAGCGGGCCAAGCGTCGGCGATTCAGCAATGTGGCGA